AAATATAATGGAATGGTATATGATTTATTATTATTATTATTATTATTATTATTATTATGAATATGTTTCTTTCGTCTTTCAAATGCTTGAAAACGGAAAATCAAATCTTTGCAATAGGGAGATTTTAAAAGAGAGGGGTAGCTAATTAAATAGATTAACGTACCGTTCCCCAGGGAACTAAACTGGGTCCTATCTTATTTCCCATCATGATTAATGACTTATCTAGACCCACTCCTGAGGCAGCCTGCGTAGCAAGCGTTTCCAATCGAGTTATTGCTCGAAAGTCATTCCTTTTTTTTTCTCTCTCGCCCCAACTTTCTCGACGAAATCGCGAGGAAACGCTCGCTACGCAGGCTACTCCTGAGGCGAATCTGTGGAAGTATGTAGGCGATGTTTCTGTCTCGGAACTTCCCACTAAGAACAAGGGTGCGTCCATTCAGTCTACATTAGACATTGTCAGTTCCTTGGCATGGATGATCCTGATGGAGCTTAATGCTAAAAAATCAGAAAAATGTAAAGAGCTACGGGTGTGTTTTTTTAAAGAGACCCCTCAGCTATCCTCTTTACAAATTGATGGCCAAGTACTAGAAACAGTTCGCTCGCACAAGTTCCTAGGTTTGGTTATCTAGGACAGTCTGAAATGGAATGAGCACATCTATATGATTGTATCCAAGGTACCCAAGCGTCTGCACATTATGCGTATAATTTTTTTTAGTAACTATGATTGAACCACATTCTTGTAATTTTACTAAATTTACTTTGTTTAATGATTATTATATTGTAAACTCCAGTCCCAAGAAGATTGTTGTAATTTTCTCGCTTATTATAAACACATTGTAATTCATTTCAATACGAGAATGTGGTGATTAAACATATTTATTTACTCATTCTATTTACTTATTTATTTACTTAAAACACATTTGAAGGAGGCGGAGGGCTTAATAGAGACGGGGCCGCTTATTCAATTTAGCAAAAAAAGAAGATGGTATCATTTTTCCATAAAAAAAAAAAAACGGCTAGAATGCAAAGTGCAAAACCTCAAGCGGAGCTCATGCAGCCGAGGATCAAAAACAAATCCGAGCTTCCAGCTGGTGAATAAACCATCCTGGATCAGTCCACACGAAGTTTTAAGGTCACAATAGACTCCTGACAGTCAGTGATTGATTAATACAGTCTACCATTTATTAGCCTACGTGTAGCCGCACCCACCCCCTCTGACGAAGGAAAAACGTTTTTCCTTTGTCGGGGGGAGGATGCGGTTACACGTAGGCTATCATTTATCGGTGAATGATAATAAGGGGAAGGAGAAGGGGGCTTATTTGAGAGGGGGGCTTAATAGAGGATTTACGGTAAGTACATGGCAGCATGGTAATTAATGCAGCAACAAATCATCTATCAAACACGATCCATGAAGTTATCACATAATTATACTTGATTTGCACAGTAATGGCGATTCCTTATTTACACCAGGGATCATGTTCTACAGCTTTATAGAGGTCAAAGAAGGTTTGCCGAAGGAGTGTTTCCTTCCCCCGCAAAACTAGCGGTAAGTTCTTTAATTAGCTTAAGATGGCGAAGGTAATGCAACAAAGCCTTTATTATTATTATTTTTATTATTATTATTATTATTATTATTATTATTATTATTATTACTATTATTATTATTATTATTATCATTCAAATAATTAGAGTTCTTGAATTTGTATTTTGCTTGTATTTTGCTGTTATGGATGGATGGTCTGTGAGTGAACGTGACTGTCAGGTTTGTCTTAATCTTTCACTCACAAAACTTAGACTATTTTCTGATGGCCAACAGATTTGATCTTTAAAGTGAGAGGGCGGCTGGATGTGCATACATAAATAATTATACTTTCAAGTTGTAAAACAAAGTTTTTCACTTCTGACTTGATGGAACTTCGTTTTATATTCTCATCCACTAAGCCGCTTAACACTAGTTATATTACTCAAATTAATTAGTTTGTCGGCAGTCGTTCAGCATACATTCGGATAGAACAGTCTCCACTCACGGCATTTGAACTTAGTTCTATAGCCCGACTCTCCACGAGTCTTCCAAAGCGCATGTCAAAAATATTCAATAAGAATTCAAGTGAAGGTCTTCCTTTAGGGGTACTCATAATTGTTTCTGTTTGTTTCTTTGTTTGTTGTTGTTGTATTTTTTTTTAGCTGCACGCTTTTATTTTCAGGGAGGAAGTCTTCGATTCTCAGGATATCAAGTTGCCTATACAATTTATGGTAGGAGTTACATAACTTTAGTAAGTTTAGTAGGGGGATCTGGTATTTCTTTCTTCGTATGGGGGAAATCTGCTGTAATCCATTGACCCGTTCATTTCGTCACTTCCATAATTGTTTAAGTTCAGAGTAAAAGAAAACAACTGGTCGCATACGGACGAACTGCTGAGGGTTTTATTCCATAGAGTGGAACGTACACTTAAAGTGGGTCTCAACACGCATTTTAAAAATGGGTGTCGCTGACATTTTTTCGTGTTACAAGCACTTAACGATAATATAAGAGTGTGTTAAGTAGCTTTACGTTTCTATGGTGACGTACTATGTACGGTACGTCAAGTAAAGATGAAAGTGCCTAATTGCACGTTTTATGGAGGAGGCCGTAAACAAGCAATGACGAGTTTCTCTTTCTCTTTCTAAACTTAAGTGCAGTTCCCAAGAAATCAACTCCAGGGAAATTCGCCTACATTAGACATTTTCAGTGAACTGGAATTAACGCGACAGAGTTTGAAAAGACGCGAATTTATTTCAAAAGTGACGTTTTCGCGGCCGTCACCGTCGTCGATGCTAAAACTCCCTAAAATCACATTCACTACTTTGTATAGATGTTTATGATTTCAGGTCAGATTAGAACATGTAGAAAGTGCCCACATCGCCTTTCACTTGCCCTTTTCCACCACTATCTCGGACCCCATAAAAGTTATTTGATGAGCGTTGCGAGACGGGACAGGGAAAGGCTGACTAGAAGACTTGAAATCCACAGGACTGACCGCTATGGTGTCCGCTTAACAGAGGGTTAAGAGGGTTATCCCGTTGAAAAAAGAATCGTTTTCCAAAAAATTTAGGGATAAAGTTTATGACTTACGGTCGCTAGTGTTCGCTAAATGTGGGGTCTTCTATGGTAGGTTTCACTGAGTGTGATTTCTTTTTTCTTTTTTCAGGATATTGCTCGGTGGGAATTCTTCTATGGCTTGTTCTTTTTGGTCCTGTATTTTATTTTAAGCATGCAGAACATGTCCTTCCCAAAGCATGGTATGAATGGTTAAAAAAAAAAGTGGAATCAGCTATGTAAGTAAAATTTGTTCCTTGTTTGGGCCGCACATCTTTAAACACTGCCAATGAATCTTTCGGTGAGTTTTTCTAGGTTTGTACTTCGCTTTGCGTACCGTGCACTACATAAGCGATCAGTGCTTAGGTTATCCTGATTTTCATCCTCGGGTGTAAGTCGATGCTGCTCCCTACTTTATTAGAGACCTTTAGCATCAAGTTTTTCATGAGAAACTGCAAACTGCAAACCGCAAAATGTCACGTGACCACGGCCTTGCGGTCACGTTTGCAGTTTGCAGTTCACGTTTGAACCGCAGGAAGGGCTTCCAGGAGTATACAAGTGATTTACGGCAAAGTTTTTTGCCACAAAAAATTGTACAGTCTCGCGTTTAATGGTATGAACTAGCTTTTTATATCCGTTTGCGATGTGTTTGTTGGATTTTTGATCTCGAATCGATGAATAATTGCTGATTTTTGGGCGATTAAAGTGATGCACTTCGAATTGATTAAAACAACATGGCGGCCCTAAATTCAAATCGATTTTATATTCCTTTCTGCCGTACTAACAAAAGAAAGTATTCTTTTCCAATCCAGAGTTAATTTTTTTTTCTATCTTGTTACTGAATTCATAACTTAACTCAGTCTTTGTTTAGTTCCTATTTTTAACGTATCACTCCGCGAATTTCATTTTATTTTGCTTATTTCTTTGAGACTTGGGAGCCAAGGCTTCATAAGCCTTCTGGTTTCTTCTGGGCTCCCTTGCAATCTTACAATTCCTTTATGTGTTTTTGTATTGTATTATATTTTGGCCAAATAAAATTGAACTGAACTGAACCGAACGCCTTGCTAAAATTTGAAATCTCGGCAACGCGAAAATGCAAACGCGTAACTGCAAACTGCAAACTGCGGTTTGCGGTTTGCCTGATGCTAAAGGTCTCTAATCTCTGCATTGTTTCGCTATAATACGTTGTCAAACCTCCTCTCCTTTGGAGCAACTCTTTAATTCATTTAGCGCCTGATTATTGCCAAGTCTGGCCAAAATTGGTTACTATGGTTACATTTAAGTTACTATGACGTCATAGGTGGCATGAGGTCATGCAATTTGGAAGGGCAGAAGCGACTTTTTCTCAGTTTTTGTAGCTGTTGTTGTTGCCGAAAAACCCTGACACACAAGACAAAGTTGAAGGAAACATCAGGACTCGAGGGATATCTTCAAAAATCGTTGCTTTTAGCTTGAGGCTCCATTTTTTTTGTTATTGTGTTCATTCACGAAAGTAACTGGCAGTCGGTTTTTCCTGCCTTCTCTCACGTCACTATGTTGAACACGTGCTGTTGCATCTTGAGCTGGCTACAATTGCTGAATTGTATCACAAACGAGATGCAATTAGATTCAGTCAAGGCCACGTGACTACGAATTAACCAATGACAGTCCCTGTTTAGTTGAATAAACTTCTAAAGCTACAACTTGAATTATGTAGTGTAATACTGAACTTTTTGTGTTTTACTGACTTCAGGTGTGCACTTATCATAGCCGCTGCCCTTCATCTCTTTCAATTGTTTCTTTCCCACTATGTCTTCCGCGACAGAGATTTTCCCAGGATTGTCATCACTGTGGATAACAGGTATTTGCCGTCTTCACTACGTCTTCTCGTTTGGTTCTTGAACCTTGTAAAAACAGTTCAACCTACCGTAAGTGACTACGAGGCAAAAGGCTGACAGTTATCACTCTTTTTGCCTTCCACCCCTTTCTTTTATTAATTTATTTATTTAAATAATTATTTATATATTTGATTGATTGATTGATTGATATATTGATTGATTGATTAATTTATTTTGCAGACGCTTGTTCTCGATTATGTCATACTTCTTGTTCTTTTTCAACATTCTGGTCGGATTGTTTTCTGGCTTTCTTCGCATCATCTTTGGTATAGTTCTAGGAGTTGTATTCCTGGCACGTATAGACCGGTCGACCTTGATGCAGGGATTTCAAAGATTTGACCGAGGCATGTTGAAATCTTTAAAGGGGAAAATTAAACTGTACACGGTTTTCCGTAGCTATGATAATTTTTATTCTACTTGCATTTAAAATATGAAACAATCCAGATATAACTTACAACATGCAAGATACAGGCTAGCCAGTTCACGGTGAAGGCGGTTATCGCGGTAGAGACCATAAGAAACATTAGATAATATCGATGTCATACGTCCCTATTTTTTTGCTCTCCCTTTCATCCCTTCTTTATCGCCTGATTTCTCCCTCCTCTCTTATATTTTCGACACTTTATCATCCTCCTCCCTGGGCTGTTCACAGACCCTCGATTTTTCCTTTTAAAGATCGTCGAGCGCGCGTATATCCTATGGACAGATCGTCGAGCGCGCGTATGGAAATAAAAACCGCGGGGAATTTATTCACCCCAAGCGCCAGCGGGTGCTCCGTGCTTGCTCTAGCGCGGCCGCACTGTCTGATTGTCGAAAAAAAACGTCTATGGCCAGGCTACTTCCTTCCTAAACCGTTTCTCTCCGTTCTCAAAAGAGTGTAACTTGTTAACAACCGACGAAAGTTGCAATCCAATCATTCAACAAAGGCCTTAACCCTTTCACTGCTAGAGTGTTTGATGGAGTTTTGTAAGGTGACTCTAACGTTTGAGTCTGTGGACGAAATCCTATGATGTGACCACTCAAATGAAAGCTCTCTGCCTGTACTTTCACATGATGCTATTTGTTTCTCACAATTTTGGAAAATGAAGTTTTGGAAACTTGGTCGAAACTTGCCTTTGGCCACATTTGGCAGTGAAAGGATTAAAAGATCTTTGCCTTTTAATGTGTTCATTCACTGGCATATGCTTGCCATGAGGTTCCAGTCTCCCTCAATCTCACATTCTTATCCTTCTCTTCTACAGCATTTGTTGCTTACCTTGGTTTTATCAACCTGCTTGTTGCTCAGAGCCATCCCGTGATGCTTTTGTTTTGTCAGCTACTGATAAACAGGGACAAAGTTCACCAGCCTAATTGGGAATCTCCAGCAGGTGCTCAATCTGAGAACCGCGATTGTTCAAAGGAAACTGGGGTTGCCTCTGGTATGTGCTTTGTTAACCTTGTTAAATCCATCGAATATTTGAAACATTATATGAACAGTAGAACCTTAACCCGACATAACGAGATTAGCCTGCGAGCAAGCTCTCCATTTGGGCGAGCGAAGCGAGCCAACCGAGCCGTGGTACGCGCGAGCGAGCGAGAGGCGGAGGAAAGGAGAGCTTGCAACGATCTCTCATAAATTCGCATTTCTACTTCGTCTAGACGAAGCGAGATACCATTGAACGGCGCGCTTATGGTGACAGTTTTCACGCTTTGCAGTGTCTCGGGGTTTCCGGGGTGGAAATGAAAATTCATGAGAGATCGTTGCAAGCTCTCTTTTCTCTCCCCCGCCCCCTGCTGTTTCGTCTTTCCTCGCGTGCACTCGTGCATGTACTTTTCCCCAAGTGGAGTGCTTGCTAGCAGGCTGTAATGAGATGCGATTAGAGACTGGGGAAACAAGCAGCTTCATCATTACCTGGACACTTTAAATCGGGCCCGTATTCAATACGTTACTAGAAATACGTAAATCGCAGGACCTCGCGAAGGACTTGGGAGGAACGGCAAGTAAAGGGAGAAGAAAATTTGTCAATCAAAAATTGTGAGCTATATACAGAAACATAACAAAACTGTTATACCCAAAATGGAAACTAAATGAAAAGAAAAAGAAAAAAAAAAGAAGAAAAGAAAAGAAAAGAAGCGGAGAGAAAAAGGTACTCCCCGGGTGCGAACTCAGGCCCTACGGTGCACCGGGCGAAAGCGTTACCACTAGGCCACGTGGAACACACACGCCACCAAGGGAATTTTTATTATTTAAACCTTTGAGCCTTATTAAACATGAGTTCAAAGATATTTTTCACAAGAATGACTGCAGTTTGGACAGTGAAAACCCAAGGTAAATGCATTTCATCGCATTTACATGTAGAGAAGGGAAGGCCAACAGTCTAGGACGATACGGTACAAACTCGTCTGCGAGCAAAACGTGTTTTGTTACCGCGATGTTCGCTCCGTATGTTTATAAGGCTAATTATCCAAAATCGCTTCCATTTGCTCTTTAAGAACTTTAGCATTTGAAATTCATTGAGTGATGTTCTCTCTGCTCCGCTGTTTGTTGCTACCATCTCCATCCATCTTTGTTGCTTGCCCCTTTGAATTTCAAGTCGGCAGTTCTTCGCTCCAGAGGATTTTTCGGTGTCAAATCTTCCCCTGCGAGGATTGTCAATTCGGCGTTCTTGTGTTTGCTGTTCTGTTTGCATGAGAAATGGCTTGAGATTCACCGATAGTAAACATTGTTTTGCAGACGATGAAAACACAGCTCTTCATGAGTGCTTTGGTCATAGACCTATTCGGCTAACTCAATGTTGTACCCAATTCAAACCCTTTGGGAATAAAACGTTTTGTTTCAGGAATTTCCATATCATTTAAATGTAAATGCCACATTATAATGCAAATACAATACACAAAGAATCTTATCCCCGGGAGATTTGAATTGGGTACAACACTGAGTTAGCCGAATAGGTCTATGGATGGGAATTTGAAAATTGCTTTCAGTCGAATGTTGCCTAGAAACAAAAAAGCGCCGTGACGTCAACTACTGTATGACGTCATGGCGGACACCAACCAAACTCGATAGATTTATAGCAAACAGAAAATCACGCTGCGCTTGCGATCCTCGTGGGAAACACGCGCGCTTCGCGCGACGAGATTATAAACCTCGCGGCTCGACGCTCGCTCCGCGCCGAGCTTCGCTCGGAATAATTGGGGGTTAAAATGGATTACGTTATACTGGGGTCCGTTCTGACGTATGTTAGTCGAGGGTTTGTATGAGGGGGTGAGCAAAGACGTTATTGAGCGACGCACGTCAACCGGAAGTGACGCTACAATTGTAAAAAACCTCACCTCTTCCGTGTATAGGCAGCTAATTCTGTTCTTTTTTTCGTTTGCAGTGTATACTCGTGAGCGAAGACTTCCGCGTATGTCTCAAAAGGCATTCAATCGCTGGCATCTGACTATGACACTGCTTCGTAACCCGTGTCTCATCAAATATCGTAAGCGGATTGGTATAAGTCGTGCAACTTCCGTTCGCCTCAGGAGTATCCGCACTGACTTGAGCGAACTTGTGCCTGCTTGACTCTAAGTAGGATTGTTGATTGCGGCGATACGTTTTGTTTTTTTCAACCAATTTTTTACTCGTGGTTAGAGACAACTCACTATAAGGAGTCTTTAAATTTTTTTGCTAGTAATAGATGAAATATATCGTATTATTTCGTGTTCTTTAAATAATCACTTGTAACATTGTTAACTTGCCAGCAACAGGAAAAAGTTAGAGCTCTGGCGTAACTGGCTCAGTAAAAGTTTTCTTATTCAGATCTTAAAGGAGCTGCGTCGACGAAATCAATTTTAACTAAATTCGGTCACTGGGAACTGTCCACCAAATTGAGCGAAACATAGAAACTACTGCTTAAAGCAATAGGAAGAAAATATCTCGGAGGCTATTATTTCGATCTGCGTCAATTCCTCACATCATACATCCTTGAGACATATACTCAGCCTCATTCAGTAATTATTAAATATGCTTTTTTATACGCATTTAAACAATAAAATAGCAAAAGGAAACAAGTGTTAATATTGGCGTAAGGGAGGGGTAGGTGGGCTGTTTCCCAGAAACATAAATCGATCCATTTTTTGATCCAAAATGGATAAGAGTCTCAACGACAGAACATTCTCTGATGGCCACCCCTCCATTTATTAACCCTACCAATCAGGGCCCAACTTGGACTTGGACTTCGGGACCACGCAATTTTCTGGAGCAAATTCTATTCCATCAACCCGACTGTGGCTGTTTGACGTTAATACCCCTTCTTCTCACAATTTTCATCTTAGAAGATGACTGCAAATTTTGAAACAAAATAGTGAAAACCAGGTTTATATGTATTTAGATATACTATACATCCTACTAAAGTAGGCTGAATCATCTTCGTAACGCTCTCGATCTCTTCTTGATGAAGTGGTATAATCTGTCATTATAACGTGCTGACTCAATGGTGAGATGAGCTGCGGTGGACTTATACATGTAAAAGTTACTGAATAGAAGAAAAAAATTAAAATAATCTAATCTGCGACTCACGTCTTAAGCCATTTCTTACCATTCTGTTTTCCCCTTCGTTTCCTTCCACATAAGCGCTGATCAACTTTGTTTTATAATTTCTTCAGTTATCTAAATTTCTCATTAAAATCAACACACAATGCACAGAAAACATTTCCGCGAAAACAGCAACACGCTGTTGTAAGCTATCAATAAAAAAATCCACACGCGACGATGAACGTGATAAACGTTAAATGGCCCCCAACTGAGTATTTAATAATTTCTCAGGTGGATAGCCGGCACTGAAACATAAAAACATTGAAGCTACTGCAACATTTTCCCCAAGTTTATCGTTTTTACCGGATTTTATTACCAAAACACGCCTTTAGGATAAGCGATAAACTAAAACCTTTTCGCCCCATCTAAGGTGACCCAGGACAGTCTTGGATTCCGGAATCCACGCTTTGGATTCCGGATTCCAGATACTGGATTCCAGTATTTTTCAGTTGTAGTTCTTGGATCTTTAGTGGGATTCCGGATTCCTTGAGCTGTAATCCGGATTCCAAAACCCAGGATTCCGGATTCCATAAGCAAAAAAATTTCCCGGATTCCGGAATACGGATTCCATTATATGGTGCGAACGGTCTTCGGTTAGCCTCTGCTCTACAATAAAAGAGGGTCTATCTTTGAAAGGTTTCGGATCCTCTCAATAGGCCACGTTCGCTATCAGAGAGAGACCTTTATTTATTCATATCAGGGTAGCCCATTCAGACGCCTTAGACACTGCTATCAGTTGGGACCCTGATAAAAATTAAAATGATAAAACTAATAAAAACTATACAATTATACTAAAATACTCTAAAATTAATAATTCATACTAAAAGTTAATCTTAAAATGAGGACTATATACAGTTACAGTAAACAAAAATAAAATCTTAAAACATTTTTTAAAAAAATCCCATGCTGAGAATCCTGTTTTTAAGAAACTTCCCCTAATGGGACTTTTTGAGACTTTTGATATGTTAGTGAGGATAGGTGTCTCGGTTAAAAACAGTTGGGAATTTTTTTCCTATATCTCCTGTTGCAATTATTTGCAGGTTAACTTACTTTATTCCACAAAATGAGAGGACAAGATTTGGCTACATTACTCATTATTTTTAATATCACAGGCAGCCCAAGCGCACTATTTGTGGGTTCGGGTTTCAGAGGTCATTTGGTGGGAATATACTAGAATTATTAGTGTATTATCTGATGCCAAATAAATGCAAAAAGTCTTAAAGATATGAAGTCTTCTTGTTTGTCTATCGGTACTAGTAGCCTTTAAGATAACGAAAATCGATATTTCTTGCATTATTACATGTGATTCGGGCCCTTATTGATCGAATTTTATCACATATATTCGAATCTACAACGCTAAGGGAAAAAAAAATCATGATCACGCGAAATATTGATTCAAAAAGCTCCCTTACCTTTCGTTCATAGCCACTCTGTGTCCTACGGCTGGTTTAAACGCCGTTTAGTCGACTTTCTTTCCATCGAGTACTGTATTCCCACCAAATGACCTCTGAAGCCCGAACCCACAAATTGATGGTTTTCACGGTGACGTCATCAGATTGCAAAGTCAAAAAGCGAGGTTTTACGAATTCTTATTTACACTAGGTTGAAGATTAATAGGAAATAAATCTTTGTACAAGTTTCCAGCACCGAAGCATGTTTCATTTCGAAAATACAGCAGTTTGAACTTCCGAGTTTTCATAGTGCGTGACACCAAAAGAGGAATGCTATCTCCTTGAAAAAAGTCTCTCCGCTTGATTTTCAGCATTTTAACCATTTCAAGTATTACAAGATATGTTTATGCGCAAGTATGATAGTTCTCGAGTGAAAAGGAGGAGCTTTTATAGAAAAAGTGAACTCCAGATGTTTTTGTTGATTTCCGGCGGCCATATTGGTGGACAGTTTCTGTCCACCAGTATGGCGTCTCCATACAAAGCTCTACAAAGGTGCGTGAAATGTTTCGGCAACTAACTCAGAAACTGTGGGCCACAAAGACCTGAGATTTGGACAAATTGTTTATATATTAGTCTTTTATAACATTTCATTTTCTTGGCTTCTTCCACTGGACGGTTTCAAATGTATTTTTTTGTGCCGTGTTTATTGCGTGACAGTGAAAACGAAGAATAGTGCGCTTGGGCTGCCCGTGTTAATATCAAACAAAAGCAGCTCTTGTCGAATGAATACTTTAGCAATCCAACGACTAGCATAGATTGCCTCTAGCGATTGAGTCGACCGGTTGACGAGGCCAAGTATTTCTATTTAAGCTGACTGTTTTTTTTAGGAGAACAGAAACAACGACTGAGTTTAAACCCATTCTCTTTAACTTTTTACAGAACATGCCGCAACATATTCTCTGTTGTAACGTTCGCGTGACTAAACGAAAACGTTAAAAAAGTCACAATACCAGACCTTTCTTATTCTGTTTTCTTAAAATAGTTCCTTTCTTTTGAAAGACCTTTAAAAATAACTTATGATGATTTTTACTTTGCAAAAAGCTGAAAGACTTACTTGGAATAAATAATCCATAATCAGTGTTTGCGTTACTGGACAAAGACACGTGATACTTCGTTCCTAGTCCAGATGCCGTCGCCGCTGCATGCTGCGCGACAGTCAAAACAAAAAGCGAAGAGAATTTCGCTTCTTTTATCCCTTCTGAGGTTGGTTTGATTGTAAAATCTTCGAAAGTCGCTTTCTCACGAAACGTGTGCGAAGGTTTGGACGAAAAAGGCACCGTGTTCAAATGTGAGAAAGCGCCTGAACTGCAGATACGGTATTATCAGTAAAGAAATGGCCACGGGCACCTCGGTAATCTCAGCAAATAATTCATCCAACACAACCGTAACGTAAGTGTAAATAGTTTGTTTTGAATTTCAATGTTGCTTAAAAGGTACAGCATTTTTTCTCATTTTTCTTTCTTATCTAGCTGATAAAGGTGATTAAAACCTCGATTCTTGTAGAGATTTTAATTCGAGGTGAATTAAAATCCCCCGCCGGCAATAATTTAATGGTTTAACGCATCACTGCCAAAGTCTAAAGACCAAGTGAACGTGTTTGTCTCTACATTGCCTTATAAAGTTTTAATATTTAACGAAACACGAGCGTGTGTGTTTTTACATTCCCAAAAAGTCAGTGCTAAGACATCATTCAATTTCTTTGGGAGTAAATTAATTTCATTTGATTAAAATGCTTTAGTTAAAATTCGTGCATTGGGTTTATTTAGCCGTGAAAAATCAAATTTCGAGTTTTCATTCCGCACTTCCCACAAGGGAACCACTGTTTAAAGTTCCAAAAATAACGTTCCTTGTTACTTCCAATATTTGCAGCCTTTTACAGCGGTGATTATATTGGCGTGAACACCTAAAATATGTCTGGAATGTTTATTGTGTTGCAACCAATTACAGGTGAGATCTTCACACCACAGAAACCACAGGCAACGAACGGTTTCCGATCGGTCATGGAACAAATTATTTTCGTTTTGTTTAAGGATACAAACTGCCTTATTAGGACTTTAAAACACCGCTGTTCCCCAAGATCAGTGCCGAGGACCGCATCCAGTACATCGTTCGATATTAGAAAGAAAAGTTTTAGAAGCCAACGCGACGCGACGGCGACAAGCTTTCCAGGTAACGACATATCACGTGAAGAGAATAAAAAATGAACAATCGTGATGTTTTCGTTTCTGATAGCACAATCCTTGCTAATATTTTTTTGTAGAACAAGGGGATTCGATTTGTGTGAACTATGAACGATTGAACCTTCGAACTACAATCTACTACCTACGATCAGGCGTAACTACCGATTTCGATCGTTACAAAAAGTTTGAAAACTCGCGCGCCAAACCGTCGCGTGCGTAGGCCCGGCACATCGGCTTTGTAATTTATTTCAAAATCGCTCAAACCTGTATTCTTCGCTATTATAGCAAATACTGTAAACAAATAGGAAGGAAAAGTAATTGTTTACTTGTAAAAAGACTGAATGTTAAAACAAAATGAAAATATAATTTCTTCCGTGACAGATAGGAAACCGTTCGTTGCCTATGGTTTCTGTGGTGTGATGATCTCGTCTGTGATTGGTTACATCACAATAAACATTCCAGACATATTTTAGGTGTTCACGCCAATATGATCACCGCTGTAATAGCCAAACTTAAATTGATATGGAGAGGAGCGGATATGAAGATTTTGAGGCGGGTATGATGCGGGAAAATAGGGGGCTCGGATGATGAGTTTGACTAGGGTTAGGGGGCGGGGGGGTAGCAAGCAAGTGTTTCGAGTGAAACGACTGCTCAGGATGTCATTCTTTCTTATTGCAACTGCATGTAAGTTGCATCTTTAACTGCAACAATCTTCTTTGCATTTATTTCCTCATTCTGTGGTTCCAATATAAGGATTTCATATATTCATAACTTCATCCAGTTCATCTTTCCCGAAAATTTGTAAGTGGCCTGCTCCCTATTGGCTTGGTAGCTCCGTTGGTTAGAACAGACTGCATCAGTATTGCAGAGGCCAGGGTTTGTATCCCAGCAAACCTAAAGTTATCCATACTTTGAGTTCTCTAACTGCAATGATCTTCTTTGCATTATTTTATAATGACTAATAATACCAGTTGCCTTTTTATAATTGCACAATTGTTACTTTTGGAGAGCGGTTACTTTTATGGTGATGCTCCATGCTAGTTTTACATTTACAATTTTAGACAATCAGAGTTACAAATGGCTCTTTCCAGAGTATCTCTTTTAATCTAACAATTGTACTGGAGTATAATGGTTTCTTAAATAGGTGTACCCAAGCCATAGATCAAAGGATCTTTAAACTGGGATGCCTTTGTCCTGCTGTAAGTATTCATTTATTCTCTTCCCCTGCCCACCCTCCCCACAGTACATGGTATTAGCCTGAACCAGATTAAGGATGAATCAATTGACACAATTGAGTCAAGGGCTGCAGGTTACCTCTCCATTAATCGAAAAATATATATTGCAACAAAGGTTAATGGTAAAGTCATTTTTCCAACTGAAAAAATTACCATTTACATTTACTCTTGGTTCCAGTTTCACGTATTGCGCATTTTTGGATTCAAAGCATACATTATATTTATCTGGAAAAAGCAATTTTGTAGAAACCTCGTAAATCGATCATCATTTTGCCAATGCACAAACCATTTGGGTTTTTCTGTGAAATGGTTAACATCCACATCACTACAGATCACTGAATTGCTTAAAGCTGCCATCTAGGGGAGTCTTGGGGCGTGGCAAACAGAAAATTGTTCTTAGAAGCTGTGGATGTCGTCTGTCTCTTTGCATCACCCCTAACGGGTGGCTAGGCGAGAGAGAACGTCCGAATCCCGAGCGTTATAATGCTGACCCGTGACGTCACCTACTTTTACAATAATAATATAATACAATAATACAAGAATTTATATAGCGTCATTTCGGTGAGCTCAATGGCACTTTACAACTAGAAATACGTAAATCGCAGGACCTCGCGAAGGACTTCGTGGGAACGGCAAGTAAAGCCGAGAAGAAAATTCGCAAATCTGAAAATTGTAAGCTATATATAGAAACAAAACAAAACTGTTCTACCTAAAATGAAAACTAAATAACAAGAAAAAGAAAAAAAGAAAAGAAGCGAAGAGAAGAAGTTTATGCCTGGAATTGAACCCGGGACCTTCGACGCACCGGGCCAATGCTTTACCCCCGTTTCGACAGTGAAAATCCAACGTAAATGCATTGCATTGCATTTACATGTAAAGAATGGAAGCCCATCAGTCTAGGCCGATACGGTAAAAACTCGTCTGCGAGCAAAACGTGTTTTGTTGCCGCGATGTTCGCTCATATGTTAAGGCTTATTATCCAAAATCGCTTCCATTTGCTCTTAAAGTACTTTAGCATTCGAAATTCATTGAGTGATGTTCCGTCTGCTCCGTTGTGTGTTGATGCCGTCTCCATCTTTGCTGCTTGCGCCGTTGAATTTCAAATCGGCGTTCTCGCTCCAGAGGATTTTTCGGTGTCAAATCTTCCCCTGCGAGGATTGACAATTCGGCGTTCTCGTGTTTGCTGTTCTGTTTGCATGAGAAATGGCTTGAGATTCATCGATAGTAAACATTGTTTTGCAGACGATGAAAAGACAGCTCTTCATGAATACTTTGGTCATTGATGGGAAGTCGAAATCGCTTTCAGTCGAATGTTGCCTAGAAACAAACATGCGCCGTGACGTCAACTAGCGTATGACGTCATGGCGGACACCATCGGATATATAACAACAGTCCTATTCAGGACTACGTTCACCAGGACGATCAAACTCAACCTACTTCTGGTAATTACTGTTCGCCGATCTTCCCCTCTGCCCATCACTTTTGAAATGTGATCAAAATTGAGAGGATTTAACGCTTGTTCTTTTTAGCTTGCCATTATTGTACTTTTGGCATGCCTTAAACGAAGAAAACATTTCAAACTTGAATGCTGCAATGGATATCCTGGTCTCTTGACGTAAGTTTTTTATCAAGGTATTGAGAGATTATTACATAAACTATTATATCGCTTATGTGTATGTTGGCTACTCAACAAAGTTTTAAGGGTCCAATCCCTTACCCTCTGACAAAAAATGTACCCCTCCATAAACTTCCATTGAAAAATGATGCTCCTTTAACATACCTAACTCAATACGAAAAAGAACAATAAGAACTCGTAGAAACCATGATTTTAAGCTAAGGCTGCAGGCCTTTCGTACTAATTATTTTAAGGATTCCTTTTTTAATCGTTATGTCAGTGAATGGAACTCTTTCCTGTCTAATGTTATCTGTGAATCTAGGCAAGTCTCCCTTTTAATTTATTTGCGCTCAAGTAAAGTTGTATTTTAATAAAAACAATCAATTTTATTTTATGTTATTGTTATTATTAAACATTATTATTATTATTATTATTATTATTATTATTATTATTATTATTATTGTCTTGAAAATGGCTTGGCCTTTTTATCTTTGTAATGTTATATCCTAAGGATTTTTTTTAATGTGTTGTGCATGTACAAGGTAGTTAGCATTATGAAAGGAAACAAGCCCTAGAATGGGAGTGTAGTTTCCCCTTCCTGTTATATCCTGCCATCTTTCCCCTCCTTTTTTATTTTTCTCATTGTATGGATGGTAAGCACTTTTAAACTTAAACTTTAACTTAAGAGTAGAAAGTCTTGTCATTTTCGTGTGATGTTTAATAATTTAAAATGATATAGCCATAATGCACATCTTTTCAAAACATTTAATCAAAGGCCCGTTATTAAAATACTTAAAATAAATTTTCCCACCCTTTCACAGTGCTTTTATATACTTCACCTTGTGAATGCCCTTTTAACGTACCCCTTTCGGGCGAAACCTTTAGCTCCGGGCCGTATAGGCAATTATTGAAAGTGCCCCACCCGGGCGTAAATTTTGTTTTCATTATACGGTCATCTTTTGAGTCTTTAATACAAAAGAATGAAGCCGGGAAAAGTAATGTAAGCAGAATTACATTGTATTATTCATTCAAAATATTTGAAATTACTTTCCAAAAAGATTCATTAAAATTGATTTTGTTTTCCTCTTCAGGCCAGTCAACTTCCTACGCGGTAGACACAACCGATTCACCATTGCTGCTACCTTTGGAGCTACAGCCTCTACTTGCATGGAACTTTTCTTCAGTGGGAAGAGTGGGATATTTATCGAAGGAGGTCCTCCATGGGTGAAGGGTAAGTACGGGACCTCACTGCCGGACCCATAAATCCGCAATACCTACGTACGGCGGATCATTTTACGTTTCAGGGAAACTGCCCATCTACCCCTCCCCTAAACCAACTTTAACACTTAGTTCTTACTTAGAGCAAAATGTTGGCTTAGGGGAGGCAGTTGCACGGAAACGTAAAATGATCCCGTACGGCTAGATATATAACAATTATTCCCCGAAGTGGAGGTACGTGGCGAGGTAAATATCCACCACTGGGCACCGACACTGAGGTGAATAATTGTTTTAGTATATACTAAAACAGTGAGATAATTGAGCACAAAAATGATCATTTTTAACTCATTTACTGTTGCCTGCAACGATTACAATTTTGGCGCGCAATGACCGAACTGCCGCGGTCGTCCCTTTTTCTTGCCGACAAATAAACCTTTTGAAGGCATTTGTTTAGCTGTTGCGGGGAAATTTCCTCAAAAGGAGTTGTGAATTCTTCTTGTATTTAAAATCATTCCCTAAAAAAGATTATTAAATTTAGTTTTAAGCTTATTTATGAAGAAGTCAACTAAATAAAGTAACGCAAGACTTAACCTTAATTTGCATTTGTAAACAAAAAACTTTATCGCCGGTTTTATCGATAAATTCAAGTCAAAAAGACAAAGCTTTACCTGTTAAAACTTCCATCCGGAACTTCGTCACCTTCTTCGTGTATTTCGGGAACATCTTGCTTGATTAGTTGTGAAATTTCTTTGTTTGTTACGGCAGCAAACTGGGAAGGCATTTTGCTCGAAACTTACGCGAGTTTGGTGTCGCTCGCTCGGAGGAACTGGAAGCGAATCAGTGAATAGTGCAGGATATTCACTGATTGAGTAGCCAATCAGAGCGCGCGAAAAACACTATCCACTGTTTTAGTATATACTAAAGTTAATTATGCATCTGTCAATTCAACCCCGATCCCTCGACCACCGGGGCATAGCGGGAGATAGCGGGGATTTAACGCGGCCAATGCCGGGATTTAATACACAATTAACAACGTAACGGCCCCTAAGGCAATGATGGAATCAACAAAATACGAGAAGTCTTTAGAATCTCTTTCGTTGTATTTTTATTTTACCCGGAGCACCTTGAATTTCCTTGCTTATGCTAGCGCTATTTCAGGAAAGAGAAATAATTACCTATCGGTGAGAAGCGTGATTGTTATAGGTTGTAAACGCGTTGTGTAGTCGCAGAAAACGATATTATCGTGATAGGCGAAAAAAGTTGATCCTGTGGCACACAGTCCTGCAAGAATTCACTGGCTTATACAAATTTTGGCGAAAACTCGTTGACGAGAAGTTCAACTGTTGATGTTTTGTCATTTTCAAGGCAAATATGGATCGATCAACTTGTTCATATGAGCCTGGTCGTCCAGGATGAAATCGTTAACGTATCTCCTGCTATTACTAATTTGAACAAAATATATTGACAGTAAAATCCAATCATAACCCGCAGTGATGATGAACTCCCTTACGCCCCAAAGTCGGAATGCGCATGCGTAACCTGAAAATCGTCTTGGTATATGAAGCTGAATAGTTCTTATTGAAAAATGTCCAGGCCCAAAGATTTCGATGGATTATGTTCCCTATCAAAAGACTTTTTTTTTCACGATTCTTGGTACAAGAATCGATGAGAAAAATGTGACAAAAAGAGGGTGTCCACCTTCGTTCCAGAAAATTCCTTTGAATACCTTTGTTTTCACTTAGTTATATGTGCTGTTCGAATGATCGTTATAGCCAATTACAGTTGAATAATGGCTCGGTAAGTTCCAAGCGTGACTGTCCAGCCTCTTGTCATTTTTTTTTTTTTGGAAAATTAAGCTGCAAATGCCCTACCGTGGGGCCAGGCGGCTCATACAAAAGCCTCACAGCGGGGCTTAAAAAAGGTTGCAAATGCCCTACCCCGGGACAGCACCAAAATTGCCTTTTCCAGTAAATAAGCTGCAAATGCCATATGAATAGGAAATCTGTAATAATCTGATCAAAACGCGTAAGCGGTACCCTTCGCAACGCCTCTAGCCGCCAGTTATAATTATTGCAAAAAAGGTCACATCGATCTGATTTATGTAAACGACAGAACTAAGCTAGAATTTAATCAATACCTCTCTTATTATTTTTGAAGGTATTTAAGATAGTGGATGATAAACAAAGAACCGACTGTCTTTTAATATAAGTATTTTCCGGCATCACGATAGAACCGTTCCGTCAACGTATTGATCTGATCGTCGCATTGATCAAACAGAACACGAAGTTTATAATAACTTTCAAATACCTCGTTTTCCAGACCTTTCTGCCTCAACCATTCGCTCACAAAGAAAGTGTCTTTTCCATTAAACTCTTGGAACGTTGCATTAGTAGTTTTTCCTGTGCCAACTGATCATGATGACAGGAAGCAATTTCTTAGACGGATGCATAAAAAGAATACTGTAGGGTAGGGTGATAATGGAGCGAAAAACCACACGTATCTTTTTTCTTTATAGAATTTCTATAGCTATACAAAAAGGCATATTTTTAGGTGAAATATTGAACAAGGAACGATGTTAACCGCTTCTAGAAGACCCTACCGCCGGGTGGCAAATGCCTGACAAATGCCCGGGGACACTTGGAATTGACTGAGCTATGATTTGTCTGTACGGGCTCTTTTTCATATGGCCGCGGCTTGTTATGTGCAGTGATCTGAGCGACTCACAGTTCAAAGCCACCGAATCTCCTTGACCCTTAGCTTCATGAGAGTTTACTTTCTTCTTCTGTCAAAGGAAAATAATATAGATGAGGTGTGCTTTCGGATACGGAGCCATTCGCCTAGTGAACCGGGCCATAAAAGAGGCTTTAGGGTGATATGATCAATCAAAATACTGACCTTTTTATGTTGTGTACAGTTTTTCAGGCCATAATTACCATCCTTGTGTATGGAATTTTGTTCTACCCACTGTTTGCTTGTATGACAACCGACCACAGGCTAGTTGGGTCACTTGTGGGATTTCTTTACGTTTCTGTATGGTAAGTCATAAATTTAAATAAACACATCTTAAGATGACGTGGGGGATCTGGTACTGTCATGTTTCCATTCAAAGAATTCGTTCAGAACAGGGAGCTGGGATGTTAACAAAATGGAGAACGAGGAACGGGGAACGGGGAACGGGGAACGGGGAACGGGGAACGGGGAACGGGGAACGGGGAACGGGGAACGGGGAACAAACACGGAGAACGTGAAAATGAAAAATGCGAGGACAAAACTTTCATCCTAACCCTATGAGTAACTTTATTTCCAGCTCTCTGTTTTGTTCCCACTTTTTGTTTTTCCATTCCCCGTGCTCGATTTCCGCTCCCCATTCCCCGCACAGGGGGTTAAAACTCTGTTGACAGCTCCACCATCTTAGTGGAAGCGCTTGTGTAGTTTATCTTAGCCTGCGTAACTGGTGAAATTGTTTTTGCGCGCGTTAGTCTTGGCGGCGAATCCGCCATTCTCCGCACGGTTTAATGGTCACAGCTCCTCTTCCAAATCGTCCTCGCGCGAACGATCCCGCCGACTACGCAGGCAAAGTTTATCTAAGCTTAAACGCTCTGACCTAGTTACCCGTTAGCTAGATTAGTTTTTCTGCACCCGCATCCGTCCTATCACGGAGTGTGCGAGTCCTGTCTTTCACGACGTACGGTCTTTCCGCGTATCTCTCCAATGAACTTGGGGGAGTACAAAAACAGACTATGCGCATTATTTTTCCCTGTCCGCTCATACAATGAGTCCTTTGTTCAATCAGGCCTATTTCAACTTTCAAACCGACGCCAGGAACTTGTAGACATACTATTTAAGGAAGTCTTACAGAACGAACCGGATAAGCTCCACGGCCTTCTCCTTGCTCTTACAGTAAAAAAAAAGCACACGGAAATTTAGGCCCGTTTTCAAGACCAATAGATTTCGTAACCCATTACTTTCAATTCTCTCAAGTTTTAAACAGTGTTTGTATATTTTTACAATTTGCGATTGCCTTTTATTGAATTTTATATGTTTCTATTTTTTACCAAATCTTAAGTTTATTGTAGTGCACTTATATAGTGTTTACTATAATCTGTTTTTTACATATTTCTATATAAATTAGCTTCAAATTAGTCGCAGTATTTTTAAGTAATTATATTCAAATGTAAATATTCGCCTAATTCAACTTATGGTTGCAATGTGAATATTAATAAACTTTCAATCAATCAATCTATCTATCTTGGTAGAACAGTAACCCATTTTCGTGTTGATCAAGGACATAGTAAGCTTGAGCATCTTTCTGTGTTCAAATATAATCGTATCAGCTCTTTCTGTCATCAGAAGGTGCAAGTCAGCATGGCGGTCATGAATTTTGCTGCTCCGTGTTCCGTAGTTCTTTTCGCTCTATTTATACGTCTCAGCCTGCTACAGTCCCATGAAACAAACCTCAGATGCATTTATAGTCATACCAACTTGACTTCCAGCGTCGGAACTACATCTCACTGGGTAAAACTAGCAGTTTTCTGGCAGAAGAGACTCACGAAACACTCCGCCATCTTGAAATCTTCGTGTCCATCTGGCGCCGTCTTCCTCAATCTTTTGTTATTGTGTGGAGATGTTTCGCTCAATCCTGGCCCTGGTGTAAAGCATCCATGTGGAGTGTGTGTTAAGCCTGTCAGATCTAACCAAAAGGCTGTTCAATGTGATTATTGCGATCGTTGGCACCACGCACGATGTTGTAATATTAACAATGCTGTTTACGACGCCCTAGCTAACAGCTCTTGCATGTGGATCTGCTGCGATTGTGACCTTTCCAGTTTCTCCAGCTCTCTCTTTGATTCCAGTAGTGAGACCCTGACCAGCAACGTTTTTTCGCCCCTTGACGATACTACATCAACAACCCGATTTTCATCATTCAACGCAACAACAAACGACGGCCAGCCCTTCGCTTTATCAACTCCTTGTAAGCCACCGCCAACTTCGCGAAGAGATGGAAAGGGCTCTATTCCAACTCAATCACTAAAGAATAGAAAGGCGTCACAATGTACCTCCACAGTACGAGTGATGTCGTTAAATTGTTGCAGCTTGAGGAGTCTTTCGAAGCGGCTAGATTTCCAACTCATGGTTGCCACATACAAGCCAGATATTATAAATGCTAGTGAGACCCATATTGATAATTTGATTCTCTCATCGGAAATCCTTGGTGGAAATTACACGATTTTCCGAAAAGACCGAAATCTTAATGGTGGTGGTGTATTAACAGCTGTTTCCAACAAAATTATAGCGACCCACGAAAGTAATCTGGACTCAAACTGCGAGGCGGTTTGGATGAAAGTACATGTTATAGGAAATAAACCACTCTACATTGGATCCATTTATAGAGCACCAAATTGCGCTGTCGAACCCTTGGAGTGTCTGGATCAGACTTTGTCCAGACTCACAGCGAAATCTCTCCCAGATATAGTACTGACCGGTGACTTTAATTTGCCAGATCTCGTCTGGGACGAAGAAGATGGTTACTCGCTAAAACCTAGCCCCGCCTATGGTACAGAAGTAAACACCAAGCTGCTTGATATTATAAACGACCACTCTATGTTTCAGCACGTGAAACAACCTACACGCAAAGGAAACATTCTTGATTTAGTACTCACAACCAACCCAAACCTAGTAAAGAATGTCCAGGTGGTTAATGGCATGAGCGATCACGATGCAGTTCTTGTGGATATTACTCTGAAACCGTCAATTAACAGAAAACAACCGAGGAAAGTTTTCCTGTTTAAAAAGGGTGACATAGAATCGGCTAGAAATGATTTGAAAATACGCCTAGATAGTTACCTTACTAACAACCCACTAGATAAATCAGTCGATGAAAAGTACAACTTCTTTACAGAAACAGTTCTTGAGGTGATGAAAGAGCACTTTCCCGAAAAGAAACTGGGATCACGCTGGAATGTACCGTGGATGAATAGCTCAATCAAGAGTATGATACGTAAGAAACAGAAACTTTATAACAGAGCACGCAAATCAAATAGCCAAGCTGATTGGAAGAAGTTTAAAGATCTACGCAAAGTAACTAAGAAAAGGTTGACTCTCGCACATGATAAGTACTTGTTGGACCTCCTAAAGACCGATGACATGGACTTTGAAACTCGTAAACCTACGATGACCAAACGATTTTGGACCTACATAAGATCAAAAAGGCAAGACAATGTTCGTGTCGCCCCCTTGGAGATCAACGATGATGTCGTATACGACAGTCGAGAGAAAGCCAATTTACTAAGTAATTATTTCAAGTCTGTCTTCACCAAAGAAGACCTGCAAAACCCAGCCCGTACGCTGACATACCACCGATCCACTTTAGCACGGCGGGGATAACGAAACTTCTTCAGAAGGAGGACGGCAAAAAAGCTAATGGACCTGATGGAATCCCTTGCTACATATTAAAGGATGCTGCTGCTGAATTAGCTCCTTTTCTACAGTTTCTGTTCACGCAATCGCTCCATACAGGCTCGGTTCCCCAGGCCTGGCTCAAAGCGACTGTTGTACCCGTACACAAGAAAGGTAACAGAAGTCAAGTGGACAATTATCGACCGATCTCTCTTACGTCGGTGCCTTGTAAAATTATGGAACATATTATCTTTCACGAAATGATGTCCCACCTTGATTCAAATCAAGTGCTAGTTAACTATCAACATGGCTTTCGCAAAAAACTGTCATGTGAAACTCAGTTAATTTGTACAGTAGAAGAAATAGCTCGCTCCCTTGACAAAGGTGAGGAAACTGACTTAATAATCATGGACTTTTCGAAAGCTTTCGATTCGGTTCCGCACCAGCGCCTCCTAATGAAACTGCGCTACTATGGCATACGTGGTATTCTTAACACCTGGCTAACACAATAGCTTACGCGTCGAAGCCAGTCAGTTGTCGTTGATGGGTACAACTCGCCGGACGTGCCAGTTCTATCAGGGGTCCCGCAGGGGACAGTTCTAGGTCCCCTCTTGTTTCTCTTATACATTAACGACCTAGGAGAGAATTGTACCTCTAGGATGCGTCTTTTCGCTGATGATACTTTGATTTACAGCACTATTGAGTCTTGTAATGATGCCGCCAAACTGAAGTCAGATCTAACAGCACTCCAAGAATGGGCCCAGAAATGGCAAATGAAATTTAACCCCAGCAAATGCCACGTCTTAAGAATATCGAGGAAGCAAAATCCTGTTGAGTCTAACTATGTTCTTATGGGAAAGGGTTTAGATTCGGTCACCCACCACCCCTATCCAGGCGTAGAATTGTCCAGAAACCTCGGTTGGGGCCAGCATGTAAATAACAAAGTCATGAAGGCTAATCTATCACTCGGATTTCTTCGGCGAAACCTGAGCAGCACAGTTGTCACGAGGGAGTGAAAGAGGCAGCCTACAAAGCCATTGTGAGGGCTCAAGTGGAATACGCAAGCTCAGTTTGGGACCCACACTTAAAAAAACACGTCAAACAAATAGAGGGAGTACAAAGAAGAGCCGCACGCTTCCTTAAAAACTGTTACACGCGGGAACCAGGAACAGTTACAAACTTACAAACTTCTTGAACGAATTAAACTGGATACCCCTGAAGGAACGAAGAACAATCTCGCGGTTAACCTTGTTCCACAAAGCAATTCATGGTGATGGCGGCCTGGCCTTCCTAGACTATGTTACGAAGCGCAGAAGACATTTAAGGAACTCTAGCCAAAACAAGTTTATTGAACTGCTGCCAAATACTGAGACTTATAAGAATAGTTATTTTTGTAGAACTGTCAAGGACTGGAATACGTTGCCAAGTAAAATTGTTAACATCAAGTCCGTAGATCGTTTCAAAAAAGTCTTATTTGAGTATTTTAGTCAATGATGAATTTTAGTACTGCATAATGATTGATGCTGTGAAATTAATTATTTCAATTATTATTATTATTATTTTATCCATTTTATCTTTTATAGAATTTTTTTTTTTAACGTCATTACTTTTAATTTTATTCATTTTATTTAGGCGTCTTGCGTGATGGTAACCCCGTTGCAGGACTATAAATTTTTGAATAAAGGTTGAATAAAGGTGCTGTTCAGGATTTTCTTTGATGCTGATTTTCAAATGTTAGCCTCGTAGAAAGTTGGTAGACTACCGCCTCCCTCGGTTATCGGCCTATCTACCTGCAAGCAACCAAAAAAATACATCCGGCCCGGATATTACCCCTCCCCCCTAGCTTGTATTGAAATGAATTCGATTATTACGACGTTTTGAAGTTTAAGAGAGCCAGCACTGCTATGTCGCTTGTTTTGAAACGCCTTTTTTAGTACCGTTGTAAACGCCCTCCCCTCCCACTTATAACCCGTTCTAAAACCCCGTACGAAAATGTATATACCCAGGGATTCTAAGGGGAGTTTGATAGTATTTGTATAAATTATCGTGTGATCATCAAATTCACACTTTTTGATCGGCTAATTTTCCTATCAGTTTGTTGACAATGAGTTTTTTCCTTTATAAAGGTTTTCCTTTGGAGTTGCAATAGATTTCCAGTGCATCAACAGCTTTGGAGTAAGGAGTGATTATTTTTAATGTTAGTTACAACAGCCTTTGATCTTAATACCGTTTACCCATCGTCATAAATAAATAAGCTATTCAATTGCCTTACAGAGTATTTCCAGTGTGTTGATGACAGTTCAAATTATCTTCGGTCTTCCAACCTACATCTGCCTCATCTTTATTGTGATAAGGTTCGCAGTTCTGCTGTGCTTGGAAGTCCAAAGGAAATGGTTCCATTTCTCAAGGGAGCGTAATAAGGTAGACAACTGACGTTAATGATTAATTTTTTGGGGCTACAAGGGGAGCCCGCAATCCTAATCTCCAGGTTGCTATTACGCATTTATTTCACGAAAAGGGCCAGCCCAGAGCCGCCATTTTTATATAGAGATTAGACGCTATGCGCATGAGCAGTGTATTACCCGCTATACTGTTTCTCGCTTGTTTAATTCGGCAGGCCGATCGGCAAGCGTGATTACTGGAAAAATTTCCGCCCGGGATCTCGGCATCTCGGGATCTCAATACTGGGATCCCAGCTAACCGGGCTGGCTCGGTTGTCATAATATAATCGCAAAGTTGATTTCTGTTTCTTTTAACTAAGATGCCGTGATCCGGCTGCAATGCGAGCAAGACCGGCCAGATTTTACGGAACGCCCTCCCCCTTGACCTAACCGATTTGTGAAAGCCCCCCCAACACACACACAAAATTTCGCCCCCCCGCCACCCCCACCTCAACATCTTCATGCCCCCTTCTCTATATTAAATGAACTTTCCCTTATCCACGTTCTTTCCATACAAATATTACCAAAAACAACCGAAAAACAATTCTAAAAAAAAATTCAGAAAGTCTAACAACGTTTGTATAAAGTACTAGTATGTTTTCGACTATTGATGACATCTTTCACAACTACCACTTCATTTCAACAGACTGCGACTACACTGTCACTTCATAACCAAATTAGCACTCCCACAGCTACCTCACTGAAACATCTAAAATCACTTTTACCTTCCAAGAAAATATTTTTTGTTACTTCGTATTAAATTCTACGAGAAACCAGTTTCACTGATTAACAAAGTACAGCCATTATCTTATCAATCCACGTCCAACTTAAATCCACCCCTTCCACTCCACACATCTCAACTAAAACCTAAAATATACAACGCTACTGCACTACTCACAAAAAACTTCACGCACGCCTGGTATATCCTAGGCTAACAGAATGCTCGGTCTGATTAAGAGAACTTGTAAAGGTCTGGATGACCCTAAGACCCTGCGTACTCTTTACTGCTCATTGGTCCGCTCAAATTGGGAATATTGTTCAGTGGTGTGGTCCCCATATACAAAGAGAAATACTGATAAGCTGGAAAGAGTACAGAACTGGAAAGAGTACAGAGAAGAGCGACCAAACTTATCTTAAAAAGAAGTTAAACCTCATGTCACTGGAGAAGAGAAGATCACTGGCTGACGTGACTTTCTTATATAAAGTAGTTAATGGCAACATATATTGATATTGACATCAGTAAAATTATAGATTTCCACTCAGAAGCTGACCGCTTCTCACTTAGGGCTAAGGACTCTTTAACTTTAAAGAAGAAATATGCCAGAACTAATGTCTTGAAGTATAGTTTTTTCCATAGAATTACTGACCAGTGGAATCAACTACCGTTAGACATTCGTGTTTCTGATAATGTAAATATTTTTAAGTCTAGAGTTAGGAAATTTTTCAGTGATTTTTAAGTAGCTTTTATATTTCTGTATTTTCTGAAACTATTATTTTATTGTGTTTATATATATTTTTAGGTGATTCGTTTTTATTTGTGGTCTAGGACTCCTTTACAGTCCATCCTTTGGTTTTTTAATCCATAGATTGTAATAAATAAATAAATATCGACGCCCAAATATACGCTCCACAGCTTCTTGTTTAAGAAAAGTGAATCTATAGCATGAGGATCGACTCGTGTGACCAGCATTTGCGTTTTCATTCATGTACAGCATACCTAGTTTTGCTCGAAAAATAGTCTTTATGTATGATGAAAAGAGTAGATTCTTCTACGGTTACACTGAATCATTCAAAATTTCTCATACATTAAACGTACCTATGTTATTTTTTAGGGAACTGAAGGAATAGCAGGGGAGCCGGAAATAGTGCACGTGCGGAAATTATTTAATCCCGTGCCAAGCATGTAAGCATTTTGAAAGCCACTGATTGACACGAGTAATGTGTATGAAAATTTGCTCAAGAACATTTATTTTAGCCCAAATGTTATCTTGAGGATATTCTTGCGTATCCTTCTACAAACTCACTTTTTTAATAAAAATACTTTTTACATAACAACATTGAATTTTCCATGTGCCAGGCCTTTATCAAGTGCATTTGTCACATAACATTCGACCATGACTCTCATTATCTCATGGGTAAATGAGATAATGATATATTTCGATAAATGTTGTTGTTGTTGTTTTGAAGTCTAGTTAATTAATTTTCTTTTCAAGGAGTTCGGAAGAGGTGAAATGGTACATGAAGGCGATTTACTTTTTCTACAAACCAAGGACAGGTGTGTGAGACCGTCTTTTTGAAAAAACCAGTAGGATTGTTTTAAGTAAGTAAGTAAGTGAGAACTTTATTATACATGTACTGAGTGTCGAGGTCGCTAGCATGCAATGTACACCAATTGGGGACACCTAACTTCAATTACTTGTCTAACGGTCAATAAAATAATCTAATAATCAATAACACAGGAAATGTATGTCGAAGATATTAGCTATATAGTGTAGCTACTCTAAAATTCGAATTGAAATAAAGGTTATGTATGTATGTGTGTATGTCCACACGTAAAAAAATTAACAAAGGGAAGGCGCTGTCCTCTTCGAGCCGAACAGAAGCACTACCTTAGAGGTAATGTAAGCAGCGCAAGTCTAAAGCAATTACCCAAGAAACTCACTAGTGTCCGGAATGACAAGCATACTTGCTGTTTAAGCAATTTATTAAGATTAAGAGGCGCGATACTTGTAGGACCGAAAACAGATGCGAGACAGTTAACCTTTTTAATGGGAGGTATACTCAATGGGCGCCTTTGTGTTTTATTGAATGGTATATAAAAGGATAAAGGTTTGGGCCTCGGGGATGGCCTACGCTGTAAAGAACTTTGTTGAGTACCCCCCCCCCCCCCTTCCCGGTATTTAGACACTTTGTCTTAATAAAAGGCCTACCGCTTAGTAGATCGAAAGCCATGAGGATTGCTTTGACTCTTTAGTGTGGATTTCTTAAGAGATCTAAGGGAAGGAAGGAAGGTCTTTTCGTGTGAAAAAATATGTTCGGTTTCAATCGATCCGGATTCGTGTGGACGGAGCCCTTACGAAAACGACACAGCTTCAAACATGGACAAAAGTCCCTGTGACAGTACTGCAGTATCGTTATTTTTCTGTCATTTCTCGGTTCCCTCATAAGACAGTGCATCCTTTTCGAAATTTTCTTGCATTTCTCCCTCCCCCACTCTACACAAAGTTGAAACTCGGAATAGAATTCTGGATACTCGCATCCAACATTGTTTGTGGGATGATGGGTTGGACCTGTGTGAATTGGAAAGCGCCCTAGAAATGCAAAAGTGTCGCAAGACTTTTGTCAATGATTGTAGAATATTCCTGTTTGCTGTACAGTATTTTTACCTTGTCTAACAAAATCTAATTTTTTCAGATTTCAAGTTTTCGACCCAATTTGTATCTACTCTGCTGGTTGCTTTTATAGCTGTTTTTGAGGTATGTTTATTATTTCGCAAATTTGCGAATATGCTTTCTGAAGTTTCATTGCAAGCTTTAAAGCAAGCAGATACATGTAGACGAGATTATTTACGCGGGGTTATCCCGGCCTCTGCATTCTCGTCGCATTCCCGTAATTTAATAATATTAATAATTTATAAATTTACTATAGCGCCTTTTAACATATAAATGATCAAAAGCGCTTTACAGTCATACTAATTAAAATTTATGAAATGAATCTGTGATAGATAAAACCGATAAAAAATAGAAATGCTGATAAAAATACAATGAAATAAAAATGAAACAAAAAATCAAGTTAAAACTACGTAAAAGCTAATTAGCAATTATTGGCGAGCAGATCAATTATTTGCCGAAGCCGAAGGCTGAGGCAAATAATTGATGTACGAGACACTGGCAAATCACGATATTTTGTGATAACCGAGTTCACTAATTGTTTTATCATTCGATCACCATGTTTGTTTTTTAACGAATATCTTCGGGAAGCGAAGCGATCTGCCTTTTTTCACGCAAGAACGTATCACGCGTGGTTTCGTTTACGCATGAGCAGAGTATTATTTGCAGCCAAACACAGTTGGACGACATTGTCCATGAGCAGACCATTATTTGGAGGCAGTTATTTGCAGGTCAAGTGGTGGGCTTTCAGCCAATGAAAAGGAAGAAAAATTTGCATCGAATGATAAAATAAGTGATATGTTTTAACTTGTCTCTTAAAAGCGCACAGTGATCCGATATCACGGACAATTTTCCACTTTGAGATTAGGGGGGAGGCTTTAGCATCGACCAGTCACAAGTAATATATAGATTTAGCCAGGGCTAAAAGCGTAGCTTCCATTAATAAATTTATTTAAATCAAACAGTAAACTCGTAATCCACAAATCAGTTAACTTAAGGGCACATATGTGACTTTTTTGGGAAAGCTAAGTGATTTTAGAGTGAAAAGAAAATCTTGCATCGAATCTATAGCCGTATATACACCCAAAAAATAGCAATCGTCTTCGATCACACTTAAGAGTCATAATGGCTCTTGATAACAGTAGATTAGGCCTGGAAAACGAATTCTTGGAAAACAAATCAGGCCGAATTTTTTGCGTTCGACAAGTTTACTTAACAAAATCTTGCCAACAACTCTGGGTGCGTGTAAACCAACATTTCGTACCTTTTATACATCACATCTGAGGTGAAACAGTAATATGAGGTGCTGTTTTTATCATACAGACCTCAGACAAAATGGAGTATTTCACAATTTTTCAACACAAATTGCACTCATTCAATATTCAGAACCGTACAAAGCTCGCGTGGGCTTTTGGCAAAACCGTTCAAAAAATTTCCAAAATCACCTATACGGCCAGCCGGTTCTCACTTTTATTTAATGGTTTTATAATGATTTGTAATCTGAAAAAGCGTTTGATACTCGCGGCATTTTGAGTACTCCTGCAAGCGATGTTTATGAACGACTGAAAACAAACGGCAAAGCGATTAAAATTGCAAGAGACTACTAACAATTAATAAAAGAAATGTAATTCGGTGAAACATTTACAGAAAGAACAATTTTCATTCACGAAGACAAGTATTAAAGCGTCTCTAAAAATCCTGAGTCTTTAAGCTTAAGCTTAAAGCTTTTAGCCGGCTTCCTGGTGTTTACTGTTTTCAAAGAAGAACTCGAGGCAAGAAAATCGCTCAAAGCTTTCTTTCTACGGCCAAAATTATAACTAAATACTCTTCGGACCGTTTTTCTTTCAATTTGCGGCTAAAAATCGTAGTCTATCGACTAAAAGCTTTTTAAAGTTCTGTAAGCTCATATATACTAGATCAGATCATTGTCTCAGATCTTAATACAAACGTGCATAAATTAGCCTCATAAACTCCGCTCGACTTCATGAAATTAGATATAAAAAAACATACATACACTGTATACAATAATTACTCAGGCTTACCATTCGAGCTGCAGCTCCTGAAAGCTATCAAGAAAGGCCAGAATCGCTTGAGGGACTCTTCAACCCGCATCCGGGAAGGTGAAAAACGAAAACGATGTCATCCGAAATCGGATTTCCAACTTTGACAAGCGGCGCATTTCCCAACCAAAAATTCAATAAGCAAACCAGCCATGAATAAAAGAAGACTGTTGATAGCAGCTGTATTTCATTTTATGCATCCAGTGGAAAAATACAGTAAAAAAATCACAAGTTGACAAAAAACTCGATATAATTGCGTAAGTGTACGATATAATTGCGCGACTTGCGACATGCGATTTCCCGCCAAAAAATCTCTACTTTTCCCTACCCCAAGAGTCCATGCGGACTACTTTCCACTACCCGGAAAGTCCGTTCGGACGGACGTACGCTGACGTCATAACCAAAATTTCTTGGATGGATAGTTTACCAAATTATCTTAGCTATAGTGCTCCGCTCGCGCGCGCTTCGCGCGCGCAAGAAGCTCCGCTACAAATATTTCTGTCAATCTAATTATTATGCTTCATTCTGTGAGGTTCTCGCTTCTCAGCCTGCGTTGTTGTATCACGTAATTAGCGAGCTTAAGCAACGACGACGGCGACGGCAACGAGAAAGGCAAAAAAGCGATAGGTTTTGATTGGCGAAACAATAACTTTGCACGTGCACGCTTTATTGCGCATTTCTTTGCTGTCACTGCACGACAACAACGTTAAATTCCCTAATTTAAGTTTCCTTTTCTTTTTCAAACTTTGATAAAGTCCTTTAGAATTCAACTTCAAAAAACTTCCCCAAAATTTGACGAATTAAACGAGACGGAATGAGCACGATAAAATTCAAAGCAATGCGAATTCACTTTTTTAGTGACGTTTTCGTAGCAGTCGCCGCACTTTTTGCTTTAACTTCTTATTAATTAAACTGACCACATGTAAAGGGCTCATCAGGATTCTTTTTTATCAAAATTGTTTACCAAAGCACCATTGTGTACACAGGGAACAATTACCCGTTGCTGATATATTATCCTTTATGTCTTACACTGACTTACATTGTTAAGTCGAATTGAAATTGTTTCCTTCCAGGTTACTGTTGCATGTATAGGACTCCTGGATCTTTTAAAGAAGATTTCAAGGCCCTTGTGTAACAACGATTTCTGTTTAGAGTTTTTGGGTGTTTTCTACGGTAGGTGTAAAATACTAGATGTAGATATTTATTCTCAAGAAAAGTATAATTCTTCACATCATAAAAAGCCCAATTTAATACTTGTTTTAGCGTTTTACTGTCCATTCAAAGTGAATGTCCGATGTCTCTTTTAAGAACTTGTTCTAAACGACAGAGAAGAGAAGTGCGACGGTTAGCATATTTAGAAACTTGCCAAGAATCAGCCCTTTTTATGGGAAGAAATAGCACCGCCTTGCGGAGAGTGTAACCCACCTCGGCAGAAACCACCCTCCTCTACCCCGGTTGAAAAACTTCTGGATCTCAGCAATCCGCAGTCCTGCAAATATGGCAGAAAAAAATTGGCATGTGTTACTTTCGTGTGCATGGTTGCACTCGGGAACAAAACGTTAGCCCATACATTTCTTCCATCGTTCGATAATGCAAATGGCCGCCTCTGTCAAGAAAGATTCTTGAGATCTAGAAATTGTGCTACCATAAGTGGGTGGGGGGGGGAGGTGTCTCCAAGGAAATCTGTGGTACAGTTCGCCTGCCAGTATGACGTCACGTCTCACGTCAGTGAGAATGGCGAGCAAAGTGTTCATCGAAGAGACGGATAAAAATTTCGATTTTATCACGGAAACACTGAGATTTTAAGGTCCCTCTTGTCATAGAAAACTAGACTTAAGTACTTTGTTGGAAAGAAACATTCACTGGTGTAATGAACTTTAAAGATTCCTTTCTATCTTCGAGCAAATTTTACGGGCAATCATACCGACCGGCCACACTTTTGAGGGCCAGTGCACAGCAAGATTGAGGAATTTAGACACAGCAATAGGACGTTCATCAAAGGATGTATTATACTTTACATTCTGCGTATTTTCAGCTTTTCAGAGCTAGTGGAACCCCATATCAATCCTTGCAAAGTTTGCTTAGCTGTACCGTTTAAAGACTCGGAAAGCTAAATGACAGGCCGGGTATTTGTGAGCATTCACCTGTAATTCTGTAATTAAATCCCGAAAACCAATAAAAGGGTTCGTTTAATTATTTTTTCTGGGCAAACCCAGTGCCCAGCTGCGCAAACATATGAGCTTTCCCTTACACTGGGAAAGGTAATAGCCTTATAGCTCTATTTTAACCTTTGGGATATTTCTAATTTTCAGGTAGCCTTCAAGCAGCCGGCATTATCTCTGCTTTAATATCCGTCATAAGCCTCTTACACTTTATAAAGTGCCATCGGTAAGCTTTTTGTCTTTTATGTTGTTATTTTGGACATCTACACGTACTAGTAGTTAAATCTATTGAGTATTCTTACGGACATGTCTTGTTTACGGAAACTGTGCTTTGTCTCTTTATACAATTCCTACTTTAATAGAGTGGACGATTTTGTAATTAAGACAGATTAATGTCCCTTCATAATACCGTCCATTATTTCTCTACACATAGATAAACAGGTAAAAAGCTAAGTTAGTTGCCATTTTCTAAGCCTTTAGATGCCGTCCTTACCAGCGAGATTTTTCTTACAAACATGTGAAAATTCAACTTTGTAAGCCGCCATGCTGGAGAAAGCGTGTCGTCATCCTGCTAACTTGAAAACGTCGGAAAGCTCAAATTCAGTTGAAATTTTCTTCTTTTTTGTGACCAGTGTATGGTTTTAATCTCACTCTTACCAACGCTGATGAATCGAAGTCTGAGTAAATTCGTTTCGTTGTCTATATTTTTGCTCTCAGTTTTGGAATTTTCTAAACTAAATAACAATTATTCACCGAAGTGGAGGTGGCTAGTGATGATTATTTACCGAGCCCGCGAAGCGGCGAGGTAAATAGCCACCGACACTGAGGTGAATAACTGTTTTAGGATATACTAAAAAAGTGAGATAATTGAGCACGAAAATGATGATTTTTAACTCATTTACTGTTGAACGTTTACAATTTTGGCGCGCAATGACCGAGCGGCCGCGGTCGTCGCTTTTTCTTGCCGACAAATAAAACTTTTGAAGGCATTTGTTTAGGTCTTGCGGGGAAATTTCTTCAAAAGGAGTTGCGAATTCTTTGTGTATTTAAAATCATTCTGTAAAAGGACGATTAAATTTAGTTTTAAGTTTATTTATGAACAAGTCAACGAAATAAAGTAACGCAAGACTTAAGCTTAATTTGCATTTGAAAACAAAAAACTTTTTCACCGATTTTATCGATAAATTCAAGTCAAAAAGACAAAGTTTTATACCTGTTAAAATTTCCAAACCGAACTTCATCTCCTTCTTCGTGTATTTCGGGAACAGCTTGCTTGATTAGTTGTGAAAATTCTTTGTTTCTCACGGCAGCAAACCGGGAAGGTATTTTGCTCGCAACTTACGCA